CAAGTAGCAAAATTTTGAGATTTAAATTTTTCGTTAATTAAAGGCTTATGTAAAAATCGATAACATTTATTTCAACGTTAAACTAAAAAATCTCTGAATCGAATTTTGAAAATTGCATCTACGTGAGCACTTTTATCATTAACGTATGTTCCATCTTTCGTAGCTCTGTATCTATTCGTTTCTATCCAACAAACTCATACAGAGATTCTATCTTCTCTAATTACAGAGATTAAACCGTAGATTTGTAGTACATCTATTGAAAGATCTATTTCGATGCATCCGAAATTATAATTATTCATTTTAATCAGGTTCTAATTTTTCACATCTGACGTATTATTATATATTTCATTAGGGATATCTGAAAAGTCCGTACTTATTGAAATGCTACGTGATAAAGCTATTTTGAACATTTCCATTATGTTTTAGGTATAACGACAGAAAGATGCATAATTTAGAATAAGTCTTACCTTTTTTCTTACACTTGTCATAGGATGATTTTAAATCGGAAACATATTTAGATTCATTTTTTGTCATTGTATTTTCTAGCAGATCTAGAAATAAAAACAAAAGTACTTATTCATCAGAAATTGTATTTGCAACCAGCATTTCATTATACCAGATCTAGAAAGGAAAACAAAAGTACTTATTCATCAGAAATTGTATTCGTAACCAGTATTTCATTATAACAGATCTAGAAATAAACACAAAAGTACTTATTCATCAGAAATTGTATTCGTACCAGAATTTCATTATACCAGATCTAGAAATAAAAACAAAAGTACTTATTCTTCATAAATTGTATTCGTAACCAGTATTTCATTATACGGAAGTAAAAAAGGATCAATTTTCCGTTTATCCATATATTTATCTATGAAGTTAATCAACTGTTAACAAAAATTGCCAAACAATTAAGGTAAATAAATAAAAGTTAAACTATTTTGCCACAACATATGCAAAACAATTCAATAAAGTTTGTAAGATGAACGACTGTTTTCAAATTCAAATATTTATGCAACGAGTAGTTTGCTAACTTATGCATAAATCATGTCATCGGTTTACATACTGCCCGATTGTATAAGTTAGCTGTTGCCTAATATTTAAGTAAATCATTTAAAATGGTTAATCATTTAAGCAATTAAATACTGCTTTCGTATATAAACTATACTTTTCCATGTTGCTTGAATTTTAATTAAAATTTGAATATGTAGTTTGTGTAAATTCAATCAAAATTTTAACTAGTGACTAGGCAACGAGTTTTTCTCATAATGTAAAATGTGATCAGTCGTGTCCCAAAAACCTAAATTAAATTATCTAGTTATGCATTGGTAATATTCTAAAGTTTTTAGGTTTTAGTTTTAGATTTCTGAGCGGAAGACGTGAAAATTGTGCAATCTGATACCCGGACTTGCACTCCAGACCCCACCGGTTGTTAGCTTGACTTACGTTCCAGTTACAGCAGAAGGCCCACAGTAAAGAGAAAGTAAAACCTTACTTTCATACTAACTTAAAAGGACTGGGAATAATTATCGTCTACCGCCTTTATAGTTCCTTTGCCATTTATAGAGAAAGAAATTTTTAAGACAAGGAGATATCATGCTGCGCCCTCGCGAGGACTCGAACTCCTCCGCACCTTCCGATTGCTAACCGGACTTTCTTTCTAGTTACAAAACGAAGTCGCGCTGTAAGGAGAAGGAAAATACCTTAAACTATCACCCAATTAAAAGACCACTATAGAGGCAGGCATCCAATCCCTAAATACTGGTAGTGACAAATTAATGGCCCCAGTTGCATTTCGGGCTCCATTTTATAACTTTCCTAGTAAGGAAAATGTTAAAAATGTGCAATGCCACCGCCGGGGCTCGATCTCTGGACGTGCCTTTCAATTCTATCATAAATTTGTATGATATGGAACGAGTAAAATACCTCTCAAAATTCTTTGGAGTAAGTTTCGGCTGTTTGTCTACGTTCCCGCCTTGCCAGTACAGTGGTTAGTGATGCTGACTTCGTAATCATAGGTTCAGATCTGGGAAAAAGGCATGGCTATTTGTAAATGTATAGTATCTGTTTGGAGTTTGCGACAAGTTACCAGCAGTGGCACACGTCTTTCAACACATTTTTATTAAGCGCAGGGATGATTGATTTGGGTTTATTGTTTTGCAACAAAGCACACCAAGCTTATATGCCTTAGGGAAAGAAGACCTGGCTAAAGAGTTCTGGTTCATATTTAGATTACGCGTGATGAAAAGTGTGGAACGCCCATGCAGAAAGCCCTTTCGCAAAGACTTGAAATCGGTTTGAATTATCAGTTTTTGGTGCTCTTAAAACCGTTCAGTCAAATGTGGACTTAAGCACTGAGTGTGTCTAAGTGGGATAAGAAGAAATGTTCTGAAAATTCTTTGGTTCTGAAGATATACAATCCCTATTATACCCATACATATATATATCATTACTGATATTTTTTACCATCTTTTAAACAGATATCATTACTGATATCTGTTTAAAAGATGGCTATCCTCAAGCGTGTATAAGTAAAACTTATTTTATATTAACAAAGAAATTGCTCTCAATTTTTCATTAATTCTAATGATCAATCTCATGGTGATCCATGGTGACTAACCTCGGAGTTTAAGGTGGATATCGTTTTCAATTTCTTTAGCGGTAGAGATGTAATGCTTGATATCAGAAACTTCATGTCTGTTCAGCCAACCACCACAGGCAAACTGGTAGAAGTCTTCACAAGGTTCTACGCTTTGATTCAAATTGGACAGGATTTCGACAGCTAAAATGCAAGTAAAACTCATCAGATACATATTGGTAATTTCACTGCATAGATTTATTAACACAATATTTTCGACTTCTTGAAAAAATAGAAAATTTTCATTCCAGCCCTGATAATAATATAGGACGAAATCTCTATCGGTGTTGGAAATTACCAAACTAGTAAACTTTTAAGATGATTGTTTCAGAGAAATTTATGCAAATAAATTTCCCGAAATTTGAACTTGAGTATTTAATATCAAGCTTACAAGTTTGGATTACAAATGAAACATTTTCCTGTAAATTGTAAGCATATCTGCTTGAAGTTATTCATTCCTTCAGTTGCAGTTAATTTGTAATCTTTCTCTCAGAAATATATATGTGGTATTTGCGTGAAGCTCACTCTTTACTGTGGTTAGTTTCATTAAAATCACTTTTAATGACTAAACATTGAAGTTATTCCGCCATACTTTGTCTGAACACCTAGTTTTCGGAATTTTAATAAACTGTTAGCAAATAAAATTATGGCAAAATGCTGTAATTCGTTTATAATTTCTCTTTGCGAGTTTTTTTGAAATTAACACATTATAAATCAGTAAACAAATGCCTTTTCTGGAAATACATTTCCAAATTTTGCTCATGTCAAGCTATTTCTTTTCTCAAAAACATCATACGGCTCATGTTTAAATCCAAAACTGTGAATCTGAAACATGCGAGCTAGTGTTAGTTAATACTTTCATTTGTATCGTTAATGTTCATTAGTGTTGCAAGTGGTTCCACTTATCAAAGAAGCTATGTCTAGCAATATACTGTTTGCCGCATTTAATTAATTGGATCTGCACAAGTGACGTGCTGGTTATGAATTTGGATGAAAAGTCACTAATTCTATAAGGAATCCACATACAAAAATATGGATCTTATAACAATTTTCTGGTTACAACGATTGATTGGTAATCTGCAACCTAATTCCTTTCCTCTATCAGCCAGTTACTCTCAAACGTTACTTCTATTGTGTGAAAGAGTCATCGCTGTTGTCATAACTGTTTATGGAAACAAGAGGTAAAAGAAAATAAAAGGTTAGCTTTATTATTTTGTAAGGATCTTAAGTTTTACTAACGTTTATTTTTATTTTAAATCTTTACTATCAGTTCTTATTTTCTACTTCCGGCCAGAATTAAAAGCTTTAACTTAATGCAAATTTGTCTGGCGAACGCCAAGTACTTAAGTTGTGGCTTTTTGCCAAGCGAGAGAGAGGATGGAGTTAGTCGAAGCAGGCCGCTTACTTTAGCAGTTTTACTCAGTTGCTGGTTGCCTTGCAGGTCCAGAGGTTTAATCCTCGTGATAATTTTAAACGTATTGTAGTGTTAACAGTTCTCTGTGTACTACATACGGCTTCCTGTTAAATAAGGCCAATCTTCCACGTAGGCCTTTGTTTATTATTCAAAAGTTAAGTTAGAGTTTAGTTAAATATTTTTATATTCTTACGTTCAGACCACAAGTAGTTGGTCTCTGTATTCCGAAGTACGGAAATTATTGTAAAGAGTGAAAAATAAAGGGTTTCGTATACCCTTCCCGTGTATCTTGTCTACTTCCCACATTTATTGAACATAACTTTAGTAAGCTCCCTGTTCCGCGTCAGGTCCTTGCATGTTCCCAAAGAAAGTAAGGCGGAACATTGAACCTGATAATTTCACTAGCGGAAGTACTAGATGCCAGTTACGTTAGATTGAGAGTAATGCATCTAGCAATAGAGAGGACGATACCGCTGTAATCCTTCTTTAATAACGATGCAAAAAATACGATTTATAGTCCTACATTTTTCAGTCTGATGCGATATGGAACCGACATAACAAATTTTGATAGAAAGATAAACCAATTCTTTTCTCTCATTATATCAGCAACAATGGCGAGTAGTTTTTAATGATTTTCGTCTTTCTTTTCAAATGGTAGCAAAGGCTCAAGTTAAATCCAATATTTCACCTATATTCAATTTAGGTCGATTAAATGTGGCAAAGAAATTATCATAATTGATCGGAAATCACTAACGCGAACAAACATTCTTCTTTACATGTATAGATTTTGTAACACTTACATATTTTTATTAACTATACGATTTGAAAGCTAGTAGTAGTAACACTTTTCGAAATAAAGTATTTTTATCTCCAACGCGCAAGACTGTTGCCATTTGGAAAAATTAGCGCTTTTAGAGTTTTTAATTAATGTTTCGACTGATTAAAGTCGTACGAAGATGGGAATAGTCTAAATGGCTTCCTACGAATTTTTGGAATCGGGACTAATGCATTTAATGATTGAAAATGATATTTTTATTTCATCTTAGAAATTTTTATTAACAAACTCTATGATTTGAAAACCAGCAGTGGCAACAGTTCTCGAAAATAAAGCAGATTTTTATCTCCAGCTTGCGAAACTGTTGTACTCGATAAAATCGAAGCGAAAATTATAGTTTTCTCGAGCTTTTAATTAATATCTCTGATTTTAGATATTTTGGGGAGGGGGGGGAATTGAACATCGACCTTTTCTAGGACCCAAAAAAGGATTGTAGAAAGTTTGGTGACGATAGCTAAAGTAGTGACTGAATTATTAGCTAAAAAACAAACATACTTTCTTCTTTATATATATATATATCGATTATTGGTAACGTGAACTTAAAAAATAATATAACATAAAATTGCAAGTCTCCTTGACGACAGCTATTGAACGGAACTTTACAATAAATTAAATAACTTCATCATCAGTGATTTTAAGCAAAACTACATATCATCTGAATCGGACAACATACAAAGTCTGCTAAGCTTTTACTGGAAACTCTACCGAAAGCCAGGCGTCGACGTTTATTCTGAAGAGTCTGTTCTGTTAGGCAAGCAGATTGCGGCGAGAACAACCAAATCTCCACTACAAGTCAACCTGTTACGTTTTTCTCCAAATTTAACTATTCTGCTTGATAAAAAAAGCTGTATATGCATCTGTATTAAACGAGTACATAAAATATAATCTTAAATCTCAACTTTTACTATAACTTAATAAACTGTTCCTTGGTAACAGGCATTATCGGGGAAACACAAGTTGGAATGAAAAATTAATTTTTGGTAGAGCAGAGTTTAAAGGGGAGTTTAACATTCAGGCAATTTTTCAGCAATACATATCACTGAAAATATGAGATAAGAATAAATGTGCTTGGTTGAGAATGTTTGTCAAATTATTTTGTGAGAAGACTGAGGTAAACAGAAGCTTAATGAAAACATAATTTCTCACGCAATGACAATTGAAAATGATGTTATGTTTGTAACTGATCAGAAAATCCGATATTTGTTGAGAGTTCAAATATATAACTGCATAATATATAATAATAATAATGTATAGTTTATAATAATAGTAATATATAGTTTAGTAGTAGCATAATATATAATTAGTATAAAACAAAGTTTTGTTTAAAATGTGAACATTTGAAAATATAGAGAGAAAGATCTATAAAAATATTTACAACTATAGATGCTTTTGTAACTGAAAATACCTTTTCCAAAGGTTTAATTCTAGAATTTAAACTGATCATTTGAAGTTCTGTAAATACATTTTAAAAAAAAATTTTCTTCAAATTTTGATGATTTAAAAGAAAATTGGGTTCATGAACCCAAACCAAATGTAATGAATGATGTCAGTCATTTAGTATTGTTACGAATTTGCTATTTAAAAAGCTAATGTTAGTTCAATTATAAATTAAATGGTTTTATTTCTCGCGCAGTGCAGCGCGTGACGAATATTAAAAGAAAGCTAAGCCGGAAAAATTAAAAATACAAGAGCGCGTGCGTTAAATAAATAAATATCTCTTTTTGATTTCGAGAAAGTACTGGAAAATTCTAGCGCGTGATTTTAAAATCTTATAAAGGAGGAGGAAAACATCTCAGTTCGTAGTAGTTGCTTGCTTAGTTTGTTGTTGTTTTAGAAAACTGCTCTGTTGATTGTAGCGAATTCGCGGATTAGCGTTCTTTTAGCTGTTTTGAATTACGTTCTATTGGATATTTGAGTAGTTAAAAGATAACTACTGTGAGATATTGTAATACTGCATGATAATTTGAGAAAATTTAAGCATTTTTGTTGTGTGATAATAATAAATTTTTGTTCATTTTTCATCGGACTTGTGCATTCATTTCATAACGAACCCGTACGCACGCAACAATTTTTGGTTTGTGTCAGGAGTGGGGTTTGAATGCCAATAACAAGAGGGATGGAAGAACAATTGAGACAGCTCATTACTGCTTTGCTGCTTTCCAAGAAAAGATTGGAAGCTGGCCAAACATCTTTTAAAGAAGAAATTAAAGAGAAATTGGATGCTGGTCAAAGGTCCGTTAAAGAAGAAAGAAAATGAATGGGCCAGGAATCCCTCAAAGGAGAAATGAAATTGGGCCAGGAATCCGTTAAGGAAGAGATGAAATCTCTTAAAAATGAGATGATGAAAGCAGGTCAGGACGAAATGAAAAGAGGAAATTACCTGCGTAATAGAAAAAAAAATTTGAGGCTATGGAAGGCAGAATAGACGCGGTTGAAACTAAAGTTGGGACATATAGAAGAGAGAGTTTCTGCCGTCGAACAACAAATTGATGATAGGGTTTCTGCTGCCGTCGCCAAAGAAGTTGACAGCCTAAAGAAGTTGCATAGCGACGGTAGGAAACAATTCTGAAGGTTTCAAATTTTTATCGATGCCTGCTCGTTCCGTTCTGAAACTGTCTACATATGATGGGAAGACCTCCTGGCAGGTGTATAGGACACAATTTTTTATCGTTGCGGATGCGAATGGGTGGGATTCCCAAGCTAAGGCCTGTCATCTCGCCGCTTCTCTGAGAGCAGACGCAGCGGATATCCTGCAGACGCTTCCCGAAAATCAAAGGCTAGATTTCGAAGCTCTATCCGGCGCTTTGGAGCTGCGCTTCGGCGAGAAATGTTTAAAAGACTACAGCAGGCTCCAATTAAAATCTTGTCAACAGAAGCTCACCGAAACGCTTCAGG